GAAGATCACCACGCCTATTTCCTAAAGTATAAAAGGATGAAGCTGGAACAACTACTCCATTTTGTGATCAGTGATAATGTTCAATTTATTCCTTAAAGTTGAATATCTGTTTAAATATTGTTTGCCATATAAACTATGATGTTTAGAAAACGATCGCTTATGTATTTTATGATGTTCCATATATTATACGCTCGCATTATTTCATCATGTTGATAAAGGTTTAATTACCCAAGTTTGAGTGTCCAACGAACGATCCACTGTATCGAATGCAACAAGTGGTCGACACTCTTACAATTGAACCTGACTATAACGGTTGATTAACGAAACCAAAAAGACTACCGCGTGGCATCATATCAGGCGAGCAGAGCAAGCAATCATCAACTGTACAGATAGGTTGTTTAAAATTAGCAACCCGGACCTAGTTACAACACATAACCAAAATATTTCTGTACAAAAATTCACGATTGTCGATCCTTGAAAATTGCAGATTGTTCTAAAAAGTTGAAACACCTCTAGCTCCTCAAGAATAGGCGTAGTTTTGGTTGCGTTGAGTAGTAACTCTTTAAAAAGTAGAGCGGAGATCAGGATTTGAAACTAGCGATTAACGGAGCAATCATATCAATAGCTTAATGCTGAACTAATCCTTTTCCAGCGCAATTAGGAAGTTTGAATGAAGTTTGAACGGAGCAATTTGTTCGTTAGCGTTTAAGCGAAAACTATCGCTATTTTTTCAAGTCAGCAGCGCTTTCAGCAAGAAATTCTCACTACTTTTTCATCTGCTGCGCTACTAACTGATTACTTTTATCAGAACAAAACTTTTTTCGTCGAATCAGCGATTTGTGCGACCATCTCTGGTCTTATTACATCAGTATATTTCATTTTCATTCGTGTAACGTCGAGTAGTAACTTTTTCAAAAGAGTGGAGACCAGTGGCTCTTTATTATGTCTAATTCGTGTTATCATGAAGTCATTAACTCTATTATGTCATTCGAAAGTGTCATCAATATTTGCTGCCCGATACATTCTTTTACCGTAACATTTGAAAGCGATGTTAGTGCAAGTGTTTTGTTGCCGTTCTCTTTCGATTTCCTTTATGCATTTACATTCTAAACGATGTTTTGGTAGCGTCAGTATCATCAAATAATGCTGTCATTGTAGCATGAAGATAAAGAACCAAACCATGTTCTTTACGCTATGTTTGTCCGTCTTTCTTTACGCCTTCATAATGAATATTTATGGCTTAGGTCAACCGCTAGCAATTTGATTAATAAATGCAAAAATGAAATCGTAAACAATCAGACTTGCTTCATGATCATTGATCATATCAATAGATTAATACTGAACTAATCCTTTTCTGTAAATAATCGAATATTCTTATCGATACGTTTCATAAAGCTCGTACATCTCTCAACTTCAATCAGTTAGTCTCAGCATTGATCCTCAAGATGCAATCGAATTTGAAACTAAGAATAAATTTTGATCAGAATTGATATGTGCAAAAGCTTTTCAATAGGAAGCGTGACTTCTCTAGAAATCCCTTGTAATCGTATCTTGCTTCAAACGTGAACCATTCAGAACCACTTAAATTTATTCAGCCGAGATTTGAGACAATGAATTTGAATCGTTACGCTTAATGATCCATTACAATCACTATTGGATTATCTGTCATTCGGCTCGCAAGTTGCTTGAACGGGTATTCATTAAAATCACAGCCCTATTCAATACTAACGATAATCATAGAATAAGGCTATTAATCACTGAAATGGAATAGAACGAACTGATCATCTTGAATAGCAGTCAAAAAGTAATAAAATTCTCGATTAACGCACCATACCTGTAGTCTTTCAACAAAAACGGATAATGTTCAGTGAGAAAATTAATCTAATTCAATGCTTTTCATTTACTAATAAGGGATATTCATTTGAAGAAGCTGACAAATTTTAAATAATGAACGATGTTAATTAGCGTTCATCGAACTGCTTTTCAACGTCAATTATTATCCAATTATTCATGCTTAAATTATATATTCAATTCACTGCATCCGACTGCGTTCCAGTACACATCAGGAAACATCGTATTCAAGTAATCGAATTTTATGTCAACTCAGGTGTTTATGAACATTTTTAAGCGATTAAAATACAGAAGGGTTCACCTGAATGCACTGCTGAGCATTTTATATTTGAGTTTTATGAACGCATCGTTGACAGGCTTTTTCGCATTAAAATGTAGCTGATTGCAATTACGCACCATGATATTTGTCAAGAATGTCACATTATTTCAATTAACTCCAAATATTCTCGATAATCTTCATGCTTCGTGATATTATCATAATCTCATTAGAGACACAGGTGAAAGTCATCGTTGTGGATGAATTTTGGAGTGTCGAAAGGATCGGCAAGCTAATAGTCCCTGGTTGTTGTAGTGTGATAGTGGTGATGTTTTCCAACTGTGATTTACTTTTGTCTGCTATCTTCTGAGCATCTAATGCGCATTAATTTGTAACTCGGCAATGCCTGGCCTTAAATTGTTAGTCACAAAAAGTTCGTTATTGTTGAAAGACT